CCTTAGTGTCATGTGACCCTCAGCTGCTCTTTGCCTCCTTTTTCCGTATGCAAAATGGAGGTGATGGTAGAGCATCCTTTATAAGGTTGTTAGGAGGGTTCAAAGAGATGAAGCAGGAAAACACAACAGTCCCTAGAGCATAGCACACACTTAATGACGCTCAGTAAATGTTAGCCTTTTGGGTTTTTTCCCTAAAACACTATGTACATTTCCTAGATTTACACTTCTACTTGTACCTCTCGCTTTCTTTTGTTTATAGCTTAACTTTTCTTTATAACTTAAACTCTCATCTCACTCTAAGTTTCTCATCGTGGTCACGAGATGACCACCTGGTCACCTCATCTCTTTCTCCTTAAGTATTTTCCTTCGTGGTAGATTCTCCTGTCTCCCCCATAATCCCAGGTGAAAATTCTTTGAGATATATCTTGCTCCATTTTTATATACAAGTCATCACCAAAACTTTTCTGAAAATCTCTTTTCCAGTTATCTGTCCAAATGTACTTATGATTTTACCCAAGGCAGCATAAGTCAGTGGTTAAAAATCTCAGTTTTGGAATCAGACAATACCTTAATGTAGATCTCAGCTCTGCCACTTCTTAGCTGTGTGACTTTGGACTAGTTACTTAACCTCTCTGAGCTTCAGGTGCCTCTTTGTAAGAGAGGATAATAATTATTCAGAGAAGATGATCATTACTTCGCAGAATTATTGTGAGGCTTAAATGAAATACTGTCTTTGAAGTTCTTGGCATAGCCCCTGGCCTGTAGTGTTTAAGCATTCAGCTGTTACTGTAGTTCTCCACCCTGTCTGGTCTTCATCGCTATGTTCCTATGGCTAGTTCGATATGACTCAGCAGAACCACTGTTCCTTGCTAAGTGATTTTTTTTTTTTTTTTTTTTGGGTGAGGAGATCAGCCCTGTGCTAACATCTGCCAATCCTCCTCTTTTTTTTGCTGAGGAAGACTGGCCCAGGGCTAACATCCGTGCCCATCTTCCTCTACTTTTATGGGACGCTGCCACAGCATGGCTTGACAAGCGGTGTGTCGGTGCGCGCCGGGGATCCCAACTGGCAAACCCCAGGCCGCCGCAGCGGAGCGCGCGCACTTCACCGCTTGCGCCACCGGGGCGGCCCCACTAGGTGATTTTTTGAAAGACTCAAAGAACTAATATCGGAAGGGACTTGAGAGGTTTTTAAACCATTCACCTTGACAAAAATCAAAGCTACCATTTATTAAGTGCCTGTCATGCATGAAGTCTGTTTTTACAATCCTGTACAGTACGTGTTGCTGGGGCTCAGAGATACAGACACGCTCTCCCACCTAGGAGTGTCAGGGATGATATTTGAGCTCTGCCCATTCCTGGTCCAAATTTCAGATTTTTGTCGTCATAACATATTGCTTCCATAATCCTCTCTATTAAAATAAATAAAATAAAATAAATTCCTTGACGTATGTTCCTCAGCCTATAGTTAAACAAATATTTCCAGTGACTGGGAGCCTGCTACTTCACAAGGTAACTCATTTCATTGTTGAATAGTTGTACAGATTAAATACTTCTGTGTCTTGTGCTAAAACCTGATCCCTATATTTTCTTTCCTTTGATTTTTTTTTTTTTTTTAAGAAATACAGAGAGCCAGTCTAACTTCTTTTTTACCTGATAGTCCTTTAACCTTTAAATAGTTCAATGTAACTATTGCTTCTTTCCTTGTTCTGCCCTCTCCCACACATATGCCGAGTTTGTCCATTCTGGTCCCTTTAGTTTGGGAAATGAGCAGTCTCTTACATTGGCTCTAGTCCACGCACACCACATGTTCTGTGTCCCAGTTTTATCCCTCTGGGTTCAGATCTACAAACCGTCAGGGTCTTGATGGCCCTAAGTATGCGTTAGGTTTTCCTTAAGTAGCTTTCTAGGTGCCAGTGGAGAGCTTTGATTTTAAGTCACTCTACCATGAGTAGTGATCCTGGATATTTATATCAAAGGTCATTCATTCTCGAATTAAGCATTTATGGAGTACCAGTGTGTTAGCTCCCACAGGCCTCCTTATTTGTCTTTCTTCTCTTCAGTCTCTTGGGGTTATGAGAAAGGAGCAAACAGCGAGCAAGGCCTGGAGAAGGCCTTTTAGATTTGGTTTCTCTCCTCCATGGTCTCGGCCATTGTCGGGGGAACAATCTGGGACTCGGAGTACATAGAAGACTTGAGCCTTAATGAAAAACTTGCAGGAACTTGTTTGTTTTCTCATGAAAATAGGCAACCGAAAATATCTAGAGCATTAAGAAAAATTTAAAGCACACTGAATTTTTATCTTTTCATAGCTATTAAGATTCCTAAGTGTCAAATATATTTTGTAATCTAATTCCTGACAGTAGCGTATCCCGGCTCCCTGTGCAGCAGAGTGAAGTATTAGGAGCATTGTCAGTGGGCCGGAACTGCCGGGGTTTGAATTCCAGCTTTGCGGCTTCCTGTCAGTGAGACTTTCGTTTCCTCAACGAGGTTAATACAACGAGGTTAATAATAGTACCTACCTCATAGGATTGCTGTGAACATTAAATGAATTCCTCTAAAGTGCTTCAGAACAGAGTCTGGAGTGTAATGCGTGCTCACTGAATGCTGTTATCATGGTTGTTGTATCGGTTGAGGTAATTAGTTTTATTTCTTCACCCAGAAGAAGAAACCGTCATGACATAAACAGATGTTCTTCAGAAGGCAACCCACATCTTCAGTAAACTACTTTTAAAATTGGGGAAGCACCCAATAAATGTTTCTATTATATCCTTCTCTTTAGAGAACTACATAGATCTAGCTTCTTGTTCTTTATGGAATTTATAATGTCCCCACTTTTTAAGAGCTATTGGAAGTGTATTCTCAAGTTGGTCATCATTAAGGTTAAAAGTGCTTTCTTATTCCATGAGTGAAGAATCCCTGCTAGTAAATGTTTAATCATGGACGTGTAGGCACAGAAAGGTGTAGTCCTCATTAGAAAGGCACCCCCTGTCCTGCAGTGTGAGCATCGGCCCCCACTTGGTGTCTGTTTCCCGTTTTGGCATTGCAGAGAGGTTGGTGTTAGTGTCCTGGCTTCCTGCTTTCTGAGGAGATGAGGTTGCCTGGGAAAGTGATGCCCTGGTTGGTATGAGGGTCTGAGGATCCCTAAGACTCTATATGAGTTATAAACTAGGGGAAATGGTAAATAACTGAACACATATTCTCCTATTGTTGAGAGTAATCTTGGCTCACGATAGCTTTAGCAGTGGGTCTGGCAATTCAAAGGAGACTGTGCTCGTTTACTTTCAATTGAATACACACTGGTCATTTTTCACTACAGGGTGTTTTAGCAGTTGGCTTCTGCCTTCCTCTTAAATTGGAAGCACTTGTACAGAGGACCCCTTTTTGTTCAATAGATCGTGACGTGTTCCTTCAGTTGGTTTTACAGAATACCTATTACTGATGATTATGTCTGTGGTTTACTGAGTACTGACTATGTCTAAAGCATTCTGCCCACACTGTAAGTGGGATGAACAGAACATAGCCTCTTTTCCCTAGCAAGGTAGGAGGAAAGAAGGGAGTGTAAACAACTGATTTTAATGTAAGATGGACTAAGACAAGTCTTATAATTGAGGTTCAGGCAGGGGGCACGTGATCGGATCAGTTATTTCTGTTAGGAGGCCTAGTTATATGTACTTACTTGGTGGCATTTGAGCTCAGCCTGGAGGTTGTGGTGGGATTCCAGAAGCTAGAGAAAAGGCCAGCAGTCTACGTTAGGTGGAGAGAAGAGTGTGAACAAAGGCCCGGATATGTGGAAGGTCTGGCAGGGCTGGGCATGGGGTGCTGGAGCCGAGGCAGAGGGAGATGAAATATACTTTAAAGCATTATCAGACTCATGTCATTTCTCCCGTACTTGAGTTTGCACTGCTTCATAAGGCCAAATTTTTTACTCAACTATAAGTTAGTATCTCACCAATGTTAAAAAAATTAATTCCCTCCTATCATCTAATAAAGCTTATTTTGATTTAAATAATTGGAAGTCCTTGAGAACCACATCAGTGATGCTTTTTAATTCTATGGAGATTAGATCTCACTCTAAAGGCCCATTTAGGAAATGGGCAGAGTGTCCTGAGGAAGATAATAAAATGCTCTCTGCAGAAGGGATGCTCCTCCTACATGGCACATGATGGGTTTTGATGGGAGGCTATGTTTTATTTTGTGTGTATACTTATCTGCTGGGAATAGCAACAGAAATCTAAGATTGGACTTCCTGTCTAGACTATATGAATTAAAACATATATCTGATGGTACTGCCACAGTTTTGCCGCCTCTGACTCACATACCATCCACTTCCTAATTCTAGAGCAGTGGTCCTCAGTCAGGACATATGGGCCTCTCTGGAGACATTTTTGATTGTCATAGCCTTGGGCAGAAGGGCTACTGACATCTAATGGGAAGAGAGAGGGTAGGGATGCACAGGACAGCCCCCATAAGAAAGATGTAACCTGCCCCAAATACCAGTAATGTCAAGGCTGAGACACACTGTTCGAGGAATAGCATATTTCAGAGGAGAACGCCCTTTTCAATCTGTTGTTACATTACATGTTTTTGGACCGGGTTACCATTAAGAATTGTCTTGCTTTGGAGAGAGGTTGATGTCCCTGTAGGTGTTTTTCCTTTGATCATCTGCGTCACCTAAGCTGGGTTTGGCCAGATCTTTGAGCCTACTGAGCTTCATTGCAGTTTTTATTTTGTTCGTGTCCTTGGACGCTAACGGGGCACGGAAGTGATTTGGTTTCTTTAGGTAGGAGATATAAGATGGAATGCGCTTTCTCAAGACATGTTCACTGGTCTGAGCAAAGTTCTCTCTTTGGAAAGAGAAAATAGCTTGGGGGGTGCTGTTTAACAAGCAGGTGGGGCTGTTAGGTCAAGATATAATCTCTGTTTCTTCACTCTGATTTGAAATTGAGAAGTCATTTGTAGTGATTGAGAAACATAAATTACCTCACTTTCTTTATTTGTAGGAAATACAATTGGAGCATGCAAAGCAAGCCTTTGTGCAAAGGGACAACGCCAGGACTGGAAAAGTCACGGCCATTGACTTCCGAGACATCATGGTCACCATCCGCCGCCACGTCTTGACACCTTTTGTAGAAGAATGTCTAGTAGCTGTAAGTTGTAACTTGCCCTAGTTACAACTAGATGTGGTTTATTCTACCTGGTATAAGCTCAGTAAACACGGGATTATAAGAACAATTCTTACAAATTATGTAGAATTTTTTCTCTTGACAACACTAACATTGTCTTAATGTGATAGCATACGTTACCAGACAGAGTGTGTTTTGGCTAGTTTTAATGGGTGGGTTAATTTGTTATCTGGATAATACGGAATATCTTAAAGAAATGTATTAACTGGTTGTAAAAAAAAAAAATAGGAAAACCAAATTTATGATCGCATGCTAATTTTGCTTAATATTTTGAGGTATGTCAAATGCTGATCTTTGCTTTTATCTATTCTCCAAGGTAAAATTAAAAAAAAAAAAATAGTGCGCACAGATATGTTTGTTTGAGTAGTAAGCAGAATGGAAACACTAAACTTTAGATTCACTTGTTCATTCAACACACGTGTGTTGAGGCCACAGTGGCATGTGTGACAGGAGGAGCCCTGCTGTCCCGTGTCATGGAGCTTCTGTCCTGGTGACTGTCCGGCCACTCTCCTCACCTCATGGACCTGGAGGGTGTCCTGGAACATTCTGTGGTGGTGGTTCCCAAGCCTTGGTCATGGAGCATAAGAATCACCAGGGATAATTTTTAAAAATTCAGATCCTAAGGTCTCTTCAAAGCCGACCAATTCACCATTTCTACAGGTGGCAAGGTCCTATAATCTAATTTCTAAAGCTTCCCAAATAATTCTGATGATGTCTTGAATATGGGAACCCTGACACAATGATAACTCACCTCTTGTTAATCCCAGGGAGAAGCCTTTTTGAGTGTTTTCACCGTCACCTGGGTTTCCCGCAATGCTTACCATAGGCAGGAACCAGGGTAGCTTGTCATTTTTCCTTTTTATCCCTAGTGCCTCTTTTTGGAGATGTGGCATTCTGACAAGGCCTTTTCCGCTCTGGCGCTGTGTTAATCTAGCTCTGTTTCTTGGCCCCCCTGCTCTACTCCATTCTAAACTCTCATGTCAGCTATTTTAAATGATTGCTAAGTGGAGATTTATGTGGTTGTTACCTTATAAAGTAGTGCTTTCCTAATAAAAATATTTTTCCTTGTTAGGGAAGGATAGAATTTGAAACCAGAAACTGAAGTTCCATTCATAATGGACATGCTGTCTGTTTCCCTTGTCCCCTGTGAAGAAATATGGTTTCTTACGAATTCTGATTATCAGAATTCTGACCAGTCTTAACCTCCATCAAAGCATATGACATCTCATAATTTTACCACAATACGCTTGTTTGCCAGAAATCCCACCAATGTAAAGTCTGTACTTAAATGATTATTTATTGCTAGTTATAAGTAACATGACAAATCATGATATTAATGTTAGATTGACCACTTTCCATAGTGTGTTTGTGTTAGTATAATATAGTTTTGCACGTATAAATACACATGTGTGCATGTGTATAATATACTTTTGCATGTCTAAGCCTTTAAGAATTGCTCATTAGATGAAATAAACAAACTTATAAAACATTTCCAATTGAAATTTGAACTCTGTAAATTACTACTGGTCCTGTTATAATCCTACATATGTATTTATTTAGTTTTCTAGGACTTATGTGTGGAGAGTACAAGTTCTGGTCGTGATTAGTTGCAGTTACTTCTAAAAATCATTTATAGCTTTTTTTTTAACGTGAAAGAAAAGTCCTTATGGCCATTTCTTCTTATACACGCATTCTTGATTACTTCCAAAACTGGCGTTTGATATATGTACTTCTGAATCTTCTTCATTCTATAAATTCTTTGTTCATTTTTCTTCTCTCCTCTCTTATTTTCAACTTACTTGAGGCTGCTGGAGGTACCACGTCCCATCAAGTTAGTTTCTCCTATTTTAATGGATTTAATTCACTTCTTAACAACATGGAACTCATTAGAAAGATCTACAGCACTCTGGCTGGCAACAGGAAAGATGTGGAGGTGACTAAGGGTAAGTGAGAATAAATTTGAATTCTTACCTGGAAGTATCTTCGTGTATTATTATTAGGCTGAAGAAGGCAACGCAATGTTTATTTTATAGATTTTTCTATCCCATTGACACATATTAACTGTAGGGTACACGTGTATTCTCCATCCTTTGATCAGACAAACAAAATCAAACAAAACAATCTTCAGCAAGTTTTAAATAAACCAAAGATGGTCTTTGAATGAGGGAACCATGTAAAGTTTCTTAATGTTTTCAAATCTTGCTAGAACCTGAGCTTAATTGGCAGCCTCTAAAATGGCCTTCGGAAGTACATGAGGAATTCTATAAACTTATACTGGTGACAGTGTATGTTGATATATAATCTTGTACAAGAGATCAGCTTTTAATGAGATTTTTTTTAAACCAAGAATTCCCTTAGGAATTCCACAGCTTCATTAATATAACCTCCTGGAACCGATGCATATGAAGTTTCATATCTGCTTCCTTGTTTTCTCTCACCTGCAATTTGAGTAACATCCTGTGTCATTTATTCAAAGCCTTCAGATGACACCAAGCTTTTAAAGTCAGTGTTAGAGAAACTATTCTGCACACTCTTTCCAGATGAATGAAAGAACTGCAAAAATTGTTACCCTGTATGGGTTGACTTGAATTCTACGACTGATAATAATAAAGTTGGTGATGTTCACTCTTTCCAGTGCCTTGAATTAATGCTGCATTTAGTGGCTATTCCTTCTTGAATCTTTCCCTTTTAACTCTTTTTCCATACAGAGGAGTTTGTTCTGGCAGCTCAGAAATTTGGTCAGGTTACACCCATGGAAGTTGACATCTTGTTTCAGTTAGCAGATTTATATGAGCCACGGGGGTAAGTTGGCCTTTTTTTTTTTTTTTTTTAATTAGCTTAATAAAAGAAAGTTAGGAGGTGGGGGTAGGAGGAGGGCAGCAAACTGGGAGAAAAAGAAGCCAAATTAAAGACGACTCTGAAATATGGGAAACAAGAAAAGGAGCGTTTTAAAATTCCATAATGTAAATTTTAATAAATTTGTATTTTGTTGTTGCTTGTGTTTGTTTTTCCCTCCAGGCGGATGACTTTAGCAGACATTGAACGAATCGCTCCTCTGGAAGAGGGAACTCTGCCCTTAAACTTGGCTGAGGCCCAGAGGCAGGTGGGCACAAGGAGCAAACTTGCTTCCTGCGGTTTCTCTAGAAGGTTCCCTTAACCCCTTTTCACTTGCAATGGCCTTTTTGGCACTGGTATCTGACCTACCGTTTTTCTACTTTGCACCAAAAATCTAAACAATTTCAAAAGGCTGAAAAGAGAAGTTACTTATAGATGTTCTGATTAACAGATAACTGGCATTTGCTTGTTTCTTTTGAAGATGGAGTGATTTCCTAACTATATTGGAAACCTAATGCTCCAAAATAGGCGGAAGACCTTTTCTTCTTCCCTAAATCTCGTAGTGAGAGATGTGGGGAAAGACTCCTGTTTCGGTGTCGCTGTCCCCAGAGAAGCGGCGCGTTGTTAAATGAACGCGGTCCTTGCTCCGCGGAGAGGTACTTCGTCAGTAGGTTGTCTAACTGCCGTGCCTTCCGTTTTTCTCAATATCAAAATGAGATAATTTTGTTTAGTCTGGAGTCATAGTTTGAAGGCTTTTAGACCTATTTTCTCTGTGAAAGGATTCGTAAGTTATGTGGAAACAATTTGAGGAATGCTAAATTTTATTTTATGGTTAACAGAAACCAATCTCTTGAAGTTGTGGGAGTCAGAAACTTAAGACGTGGGACCTCCTCATTTAACTCTTGCTCGACTTGCTGTAGATCAGGATTAGAGAAGAAAAGCCTTCATAGCCTGTGTGGTGCTTACGTGATGTTTGTAAAATAAATCCACTCACAGACAAGCATCGTTTTAGAAAAATACCTCCTTTAAGGCAAAGCCATCTCTGAATCCTGGGAGACTTAAGAGTTTTTGGCTTGGAGCGCTGGGTCTGTACGGAGACGCCAGTTTGACCACAATGGGTTGATGCGGGCTACATTTTTAGGACTGGCAGGCCTCGAGCCAGGACCCCCTCCCTTCAGTTCTTTCCCACCCAAATGCAGCGGCGAGTTTTGTGTGCAGCATGTAACTCAAAGTGGTGAGTGTGTGCTCAGTAAATCCTAACTAGGCACCTCTGGAAAACCAGCTGGCTGCTGTTAAAAGAGGAAGCCAATTTCCCCGAGTGCAGGAGAGAGAACTGTATAATCATGTGCAGAGGTGGAAGCAACGTTGCTCTCCCCTCCCTTTGATTTTTAAATACTGCTTACCAGATATGATTATCTCTTCGTCTCTGTGCTACTAGCTGTCGTAGAAATTTGGGGATTAAGAAGAAGTGGAGAAGTTTTTTTTTGTTAGATTCCTCCTGTTCTGCAGCTGGCAGTGGTATCCCACAATTTTTCCTTTATGCTCTCTGCAGCTTTTGAAAGTTTATGATGGATGCTTGTTGATACTGGCCATGAAGGGGTTAGATGAGATTGATAAGATTTATAGCAGGAAATGATTGGCTGCTGCTTAGAGGTTTAGAGCAATTAACAATGGCCTTGCCTGGAATATTCTTTACTATGTGAACCCCAGTGGGCCTGACATTGATGGACTCAAGCAATGGAGGGCAGCCACCCGGTAGGCTCAGTGCTAACATTTATCCTCTACAGAAGAGTGCAGGAGTAGGAATCTTTCTTGTCTCATTTCAGGAGCATGCTACATTTCTAGCTCCAGAAAAGTTAAATAAAAGTCTGGGGTTTAATTTATTTTGTCTTTTAGATGAGGAATTAGTGATAGTGGTAGGTCACACCCCCCATTATTTTCAAAGTATTTTCACTCATTATTTTGATTCCAGAACCTCTCTAACCATTGCATATTTATATCCATGTAAATAAAACAGTGCCTGTCTTATGGATGCATCTGTCAAAATGAAGTTACTGTTGACTTCCAGCTATACAGGGATAGAATTGGAAACACCCCATGGAATTTGCAGAAGAAATGTTTTACGTTCTTAAAGATGCATATTTCTATATAAAGCTATTTTCAGTTAAATGCCTTTGAAGGAGATTCCAAATTATCTCATTGTATTAGAATTGTATTATATTGACAGCAACTAAAATTCAGTAGGTTGATAGTTGGAGTTGGTAATTATTTTCATTGTTCACAGATTTTAATTATTGTGGCTTTTGAAAAAATGAATTTTATTGAATGTATTTATTCATTCAACAGGTATTTATTAAAGAGTAACTATATGCCACCCTCATTTGACAACTCTGTCTGACATAAAATTAGTCATTTATTTATATAGAGAAATGCAATACTCTGAAGTGTTCTGACAATCAAGAACACTGAAAGGATAATAGGTCAAAGGAATGATAATAGAATAACAACTGACTGGCCTGAATTATGAATTTAGAAAAGATGGACAAAAAAGAGAAGAAAGTAACCATCACCTGTAATACAACCACCTAGTTGTAGCCACTGTAAACATTTTCAATATCTCTGGGTGGTGAGATAATCAAAATGTTAGTATTATTTTTATGTGCATATACCTACCCACAAATAATTCTAATAAAAAATAACATTGCACACAGCCTTTAATTTTTTTGTGTGTGTGAGGAGATCAGCCCTGTGCTAACATCTGCGAGTCCTCCTCTTTTTTTGCTGAGGAAGACTGGCCCTGGGCTAACATCCGTGCCCATCTTCCTCCACTTTATATGGGATGCCGCCACAGCATGGCTTGCCAAGCAGTGCGACGGTGCGCGCCCAGGATCCAAACCGGCGAACCCCGGGCCGCCACAGCGGAGCGCGCGCGCACTTAACTGCTTGCGCCACTGGGCCGGCCCCACACAGCCTTTAATATGGTTTTAAAAAGATTATCATTAATTATTTCAAACATTTAAAAAGGTAAAGAGAGGGGCCGGCCCCGTGGCTTAGCGGTTAAGTGCGCGGGCTCCGCTGCTAGCGGCCCGGGTTCTGATCCCGGGCGTGCACGGACGCACCGCTTCCCCGGCCATGCTGAGGCTGCGTCCCACATACGGCGACTAGAAGGATGTGCAGCTATGACATACAACTATCTACTGGGGCTTTGGAGGGAAAAAATAAA